CAGAACATCACATTAAGCCTGTTACATGTGTATCGTCAGACAATATCTGCATCATTACAAATAAATAGCCTGTTGTAGAATTTGTTTTTAAATTTAGTTGGAGCACAACCTCTAACAGGAGCATAAACTTTCAAATTCACCTTCTTTCGTAGGGTGACGTTACACTGGACATTTCTTCACATTTGCAGTCATTCAGATGTTCGCATGATCTAAACAATGATATTGCATGTAGAGTTACGGTTATGGCGAATTCTGTCTCGTGGGATATAACGCAATAGGGTCTGTTAGAACACAACAGACGTTTCGGAAAAAAATTCGCCTCCTTCTACAGCGTTGAAAAGTAAGCTAAATAAACTATAAAGTAGGTGGCAAGCTCGGCTTACTCTTCAATCTTGAAAATGAAAGCGATGTGTTCCTCTGAAATGTCGATTGACCTTCAGAGGACTTTTTTTTTCCTTGACACTACAGCCCCACTGGGTCTAGGCCTACCTCTATGAACTTCTCCGTTCACTCTTCAGAGGCCTACTTGGCAATATATCTCAGATGACAGAACTCCTCAATAGGAACTTCAATCAGTAACTCAATTGAATTATGATTAGCGCACAATATCTAGTCCTTTACAGGACCAACAGTCTAAGTCCACGCGGCCGAGTCCATCTTGAGAAGCAAAAAATTGCTCAGAGAAGAAATCCCCAGCACTTCATGAACTCAGAAGGTGTGTTACCTCTCTTACAAGGGTCCGCAGACTGTCTCTGTCTTGAACTAGATAGATCCAGTTTATGCAGCCCACTGTTCTTCTCGAATATTAATGTTAATATGAATTTTTATATATCTTGGCATGTCTGGTGAGTTTCAATTTAGCGGAGAGACGAACTGGTAAACCTGGCCGAGTATCCAGAAACATTACTAACCAATTCTAAGCAGCAACATCATCCTCGCCTTTGCTGGGTTGTACATGTTCTCATATTATATGTCCTCTGGAGAATATTTCTTCGCGAATATCCACTGTAGTGAGTTTTAGTAATAGATTAATATGTATATTGGGACCGTCGACAGGGCAATTAATTATTTTTCTTTCTTTCTTTTCTTAGCACTACAGTCCCAGTGGGCCTTGGCCTACCTCCATGAACTTCTCCGTTCACTTCGGTTTTTCTTGATCTTACACATTCGGTAGGACTCCTTGGGCGGGTGATCAGCTCGTCGCAAGGCCTCTACCTGTAGACAAACACAGAAAAACGTACACACACAAACTAAACATCCATGCCCTAAGTGGGATTCGAACCCACGATCCCGGTTTCCAAGCGAGCGAAGACAGTACATGCCTTAGACCGCTCGGCTACCGTGACCGGCAGAACAATCAATTACAGTTCAATAAATAACTTACTGGGACGTGTGTGTCGATATAATAATCGATTTATCAAATGAGAGTCGAGCTGCACATTTCGGCCCGCCTATGGCAACGGTCAGGCTTGCATAAAGAAGCAAATGTGCCAGAGTTGACTGCTGTACTCCGCGGCACGGTGGATCCATCACCACATGCAGGAGTGTGGGTCTAGACGTCAGGGTGGTTATGTTCTGGTATGTGTGGAAGGGGAGGAAGGTTTGTTGTAGTACGTGACTACATCACAAGTTGGAGAAGAGTGGTCAGCTTCACGCCCCGGCCGCTTTACCCTGAGGAAAGAGCTCCCGGTACTTATGGGATAGGAGGTTGTGCGGACCCCAGACGACGTGGTAAAGCGAAAATTCTTGCCCCCACCAGGACTCGAACTCTGATCACTCGGTCGTCCAGCCCGTAGCCAGTCTCTATACCAACTGAACTATCCTGTATGTGGGATACATTAAATAAAGGGACCATTTTCTGATATAAAAGAATGTTTCTTAAATGTTACGAATGTTATTCATACCGTGCATATGTGAGTGGCCCTGAGGCTCATGAATCGAAAGATGGGGGGGCCGTTACTCGCTGAAAGCCACTCCTGGCTTCTGCGTTGTACAGGCGAGCGAGGTATGCAAGTCTGTCTGTCGAGCTTCTTGTTGCCAGAGGCTGCAACCGGTGTTGGAAGTCTATCGTATCTGCTTGGAAAAGATTTAAATCGTTGGCTTGGATCTTGCATTCATCATATTCAGCGCTACTTTGCCGTAACACAATGCGACTGTTGTGTGTGTGGTACGGGGAATTCCCCCGGGGGCGCAGCTCACTTTGTCCTGCCCGCGTTGGCTTGCCTGATGGCTGGGTAATGGATCGTCACCTCACCCGGTCAGAACAAGACTGCAGGATGAGACAAATCGTAACCAGTGACTTGCTCCTCTTTGCCTGCCTAGGCACGTGACTTTCTGTTCTTATCCGGCAACCTGTAAAATTATCCAAAGATGTAGATCAAGCACAAATCTGGTGCTAGCCTGTGTCATCCTCCAGAAGAAATGTAAGGAACAAATATGAAATGCTACGTCATGAGGAAACCACTGGAAAAGTTCCGAAGTAGTACTTTCCATTTCCGTAACCCCAGACTGGGCTCCATCATACCCATACTGGGGACAGTACGGAGTAGGTTTCATACTGTAGCGTGCAGTACCGTTGCGAGAAGGAACATGCGTTGCTTGGTAACGGCTCGGTAAAAAGGTTCCTGTGACAACGGACACGCATGTAACAATACAGGAATTGTCGGAAACCGTTGCTATGGAACGAATTGGTAACACGTTTCCAAGACAATGAGTCAACAACTATCAATGTAAATATTGTTGAGAGACGGTGTTTTCCGTTGGGTCCGTCCTGGGGATGTATAACGAGGATCTCAGATCGCCTCCATTTAATTCCCGTGTGGAGGCAGGTTCGGACAACCTCCACCGTGACCCTGCGAGTCGTAGGAGGCGACGGAAAGGGAAGTCTGAAATATGAGACAGTAAAATATGGCCGCGAGTCCCAGGGGACTCGGACCCGAGAAAGACTGCGCTGGCAAAGGCCAGTAGCATATACAAAAGACAGACCCGTCCTCTCGTCAGAGAGGGCTCCCCACAGAAACAAGACCTAACTGTCAAACGGTAATAATTAATATCTGGTTATGAGCATCAGATGGGGCTCGACACCAAGACTTGCTGACCGACCGCCAGTCGCAATGTGACTTTGACTCTGACTCGGGGGGAATGGGAAATGAGATCAGTTGCCGGATATTCGCCGGACAGGAAGGAGTTGAGCGCGGGCAGCTGAAGAATCTCCACTGTTAACTTCCGTTGTGTACTGAATTCATTCGCTTTGTGAGAAGAACGACTACATTTTAGCAAGTCATTCACGTGATCTGTATAATTACGCAAGAATGCGATCTTCTATTTCTATGCTCCGTGTAACTTAAAATGTACGTTACTAAAAAAACATGACATATAATTGTGTTGAATTTTCAAGAGAAGGTAGATGTGTTTAAGGTAAAGTTGTCCTTGTACTTAATGTAGCATTACGTCATGAAGGCGTATAAGGGAGTGGATGTATAGACCCACGTTTTCTTGACCGCAGCACTACCTGAGGGTGAACGATCAGCTTCACGCCCCCGGCCGTTTTACCCGCTGGGAAAAGCCCCCCGGTACGCATTGAATAGGAGGTTGGGTGGGCCTCAGAGTCGGTCTGGACGACGTAGAGAGGAGAAAATTCTTGACCCTACTGGGACTCGACCTCCGGCCCCTCGGTCGTCGAGCCAGTAGCTAGTCGCTATACCGCGGCTCACTTGGCAGAAGTGTTCACTTCCATTATATTAAGAGATTCAGTTCATCCAGGACACAGGTGTCCTAATAGTAATGTCGTTCAAAGCAGTGTAGGTGTTACAACAAAGCTCGTAATAATGTGATTAGGCAGCATAAGATCTCAAAGCCTGATGTACTGTGAAAGTGAGACTGGCCGTGGGAGAGGGGTGTTACTGTGATTGTGATAAAGTGTGCTGAGACAGACACACGCCACCGGAAGTAACAGTATGTGCCTACTGTACAACCTGTGACTGCCGTCGGTGTGATAGAAGCCTACTGCAGTTCATGCCGAGGTTAGTAAACATGTGCTTCTAGCCTTCGATTCTGCGCAGCTGAACGCTGACCAAGTGGTAAGTTCGTCAAGAGGAAATAACTATGTCTAGGACCGCGCACTGTGTGAAAAAAAGATTGGGAATATGAGGCATGTATGTTGTCCAAACAAGTTCATTTCCCTTATTTTTTTTTCCTTGGCACTACAGCCACAGTGGGCCTAGGCCTACATCCATGAACTTCTTCGTTCACTTCGGTTTTTCTAGATCTTACACATTCGGTAGCTCTCCTTGGGTGGGTGATCAGCTCGTCGCAAGGCCTCTACCTGTATACAAACGCAGAAAAACGCACACACACAAACTAAACATCCATGCCCTGAGTGGGATTCGAACCCACGATCCCGATTTCCAAGCGAGCGAAGACAGTACATGCCTTAGACCATTCGGCTACCGTGACCGGCTCATTTCCCTTATGCCTACATCTTTTCCTTGAATACAATTCAGTGCAGATGCAAATATGTGAGTACTTACTGCTCTTGACCAGTCACCCGACATGCTTTGTTTTTTGCTAACCATGAAACCAAGTCAAAGAAAGCTTCGAATTACATTTGTAGTTTTTTATATTTCTTTGTGTTGACGTCAGCTTCTCGAAAAGAGGGAGGCTGTGCTAAACACGAGGGGTTCAGATTCCCCTATTAAAAAAACCATTCATAACATCCAAAAATAAAAAATTTCAAAACCCACGTTTCACGAAACTTTACTGAATAATGTTCTTTTAAAAATGACAGGGAGTAGTTTGTATTCTCTCACCGGTCATTCTTTGCATTATTGGTTCTTCGGCCTGGCTAGTTCCTGTGTATTTTTCTAGATCATTTCGTTTACCGGGCATTCTCTATGACGTCAGGTCACGTGTTCGTTCCCACCAGTCCGATTTATACAACTGAATGTGTCCTTGTGCGCAAACAGCGAATCAAGAAGTTTGTCTCATCTCTCGACGAAGATGAAGAAGCATGGCTGCGTGGTTGTGTGCTGTGTTAGTTTGTCATCGCGTTTTGTGACAGGTTACAGCGAAAGTTATGTCAGTTTGGGTTACCTTGAGTCGCCGTGATCAGAGAGGGAGAGAGAGATATCTTGTTGTGTTGACAGAACAGTGAAATTGGGCGCGCAACAAGGCAGAAAGAGCATGCATCTGGTTTGTGGCAAGGTAAGCAAATCTGCTGGCTTTCAAAACCTATGCACTTGTTTAGAGTAAGCGTGGAGTTCTATAACAATACAATTCTGACACTCGTGTCGTTACTGTGTTAGTTCTGTTCTTGCGAAGCAAATGTGCTGTCATGTGTAATGGGGTTCGGTTGCCAGTATGTTACTGTGTTGCTGCTCTTTAAGGAAATCGTGTTGTTTTCGTGTAACATTCATCTTCTCCAGAAATCGGCGTTTTGTAATGTAAGCCGCTATTGGTCCCATAGCGTCTAGGCTCGTCAGCCCAGTTTGTTGGTAACCTTCAGTCAGCTTTTATTTCTGTTTATAGAGTTTGTCAAATACGACTCATAGTGCATTTGACTCAGCTTTTCTAAGAACATGGAGGCCGTCTAACCCAAGAGGTTGGATATAGAGTAGCAAGTTCGGGTCATTTCTGTTTTAGAATAGAAAGGGCTGGTGACAAACGTACTTCGGGCGGCAACTGTGTTCACGTGTGGTTGAGTTCTGTAACTCTTATCAGTGATTCATTCTCAAGTATTATTCCTTTGTGAAAATTTGACTAGTGTGAGTGATGTGACAGCCCTAGCTATAAAGTTTTCATAGTGGTAGCTACATTCTGAAGCCGGAAGTGTTGTAATTGTTTTATGAACAGTGAATCTGTTGAGTATATTTTCATTGTATTGATGCCACGTCACTTTTCAAACGCTTCTAGCCATAATTGTCATTAATAATCACTGTTAAATATATTTTTAGAATTTCTTTTCCGAATATAAAAGAAAATATCTCTTATGCTTGTCTAGAACAAAACTCTGGTATGTAAAATTTGAGGTTATCACGGCGCTGACTATGAAGAAAGCAGTCTTCCGGGATGTGGCGCCGTGTAGATATTGTGCTAACCGACGTTTAGGAGAAACGTATCGCCTCCATCTTCAGGGTAGAAGACAAGAAGAAATCCGCGAGCGAAATAAGTGCAACTGCACCTGCTAACGCTGGTTCGCTCGCGGATTTCTTCTTGTCTTCTACCCTGAAGATGGAGGCGATACGTTTCTCCTAAACGTCGGTTAGCACAATATCTACACGGCGCCACATCCCGGAAGACTNCTTCAATATTCTGGTAGTTTGAAAGATATCGGACGTGCACATTCTCTCTAGCGCGTTTCAGATGCCTTGCCCATGTTGGTTGAATGGGGCCAAAAAAAGAACTAGAGATATGTGTTTCTACACATTTCTTTAGAGAAAAGTACTGACGCAGTGATTGAGGGGGACAGAGAAAACATCTGAATTACGATTTTTTTTTCACATTAAGATATAAAAATAATTTATCCAGAAAGTTATGATTATTCTTGAAATTCAATTAAAGTATTATCAATATCGTATTGTGGAATTACAGTTTATTTTATGGTATAAGACATCCAGACGAACAGCTCCGCTCCAAATTATGCTTCCCGGTTACGTGTCCTATTCAAAGAATACTAACAGTTGTATAGCTCTGAGCCCTTTGCGGTGTGAACACACCGAGAAAAGCGGGTCGGAAGGGGCGTGCACACAAGCCTACGGTGCAAGCATATCTTTGTATCTGACAAATGCTCAGCTGGTGAGGAAATTTCCCGCTCTGAACCAGGACGCCCAATCCGTCTACGTCTTACCTGTCAGTGTGCTTAAAAATTACCTGATGATACGGCCATGCCACAGTTCAGGCGGTTAGTCGCCGGCTTCCGGCTGCGGCTGCCCGGGTTCGAGCCCATGTCAGGTCACGTGGGATTTGTAGTGGACAAATTTGCACTGATGTAGGTTTTCTCCGAGTACCTCGGTTTCCCCTGCCAATTCTCGTTGCACCGATTGCTCCACACTCATCATCTATTATCCGGGGCTGTACAATAGGCCAGTTAGTGGCCGACGTACCAAGTGGACTCGGTCTCAACCCCCCCCCTCCCAAAAATTTCTGTATGCACTTCCCTTTATAAGAATGGAAGGGACACGACTTCCACATTTGACATTTCGTTATCTCGATAAGTGTGCAGAACGTAATCAGTAAACATGGTCTGTCTGAGCTCACGTTAATACTGAACTGACCAAAATTTGCGCATGACCTCTCTATTATATGATTCCTTGGTAAGAAAACAAGACGAAATGTTTATACATCATATGTCATGAGACGTTTAGTTTTAAGACATACAGATCACCATCAAATGTGGTAACTTCTCAGCTGTGGTGTTTGTTATGACGATACATAGAACGTTGTTGTGGCCCTTTAGACACTCAGTGCACAGCAGGAGTGGCATATGATTAAATGATCATGGAATATACACAAGAAGAATACTGAGAAGTGCTCTTATTTTTCGGTAACCGCAGTAGTCTAGTTGGTGATGCGGCACTTCAGTACGCCTAGCGCTATCCCGGACCGCATTATCCAAGCGCTGACGTATTGGAACACCGTCTACGTGAGACAGGAATTGTACCACCTGCGGAACACGTGCTCGAAGACACCAACCAATGAATGTGCCGTAATTGCTGTTGTGGAACTAGAGCCGTGGAGAAACCGACGCGATATCTAAAGACAAATGGTGCTCTCTGAACCGAGGGTCCTCGGAAGTACTTCATGAAGGTTACCTGCGCAGCTGTACCCCTACTCGCTGACTACACGACCGTTTCCAGACGACAGTCAACTACGGTTGCAGTTTTCCATGAGGCATGACGTCAACCACTGAAGAAGAGTTCATCTTACATTACATTATGTAGACAGATGAATCATGTTTTACTACTGAGCGTGTATTCAGCGTCTACAAGTCAATTTCGGGCGAGTGATGATTCTGATGCTCCCCGTGACCATGGGTGTCAAGTCCGCTTGGCTGGAATTGCCAAGGACATTGCTGTGGACTGCTGGCCGCTGCCTGACTCAGCAATAGTATAGCATTTATCTGGAAACTGTTCTACCGGAGCTGCCTAAATATATGCCTATTGATTTAGAGCTAGAAGTTTCGACAAAGTGGGGCTCCAGCCTTCCCTGGGGGGAGATGTACGGTAATGGTTGGACCTTACATTTCCAGGAAGGTGAGCTGAATGCCAAGGCCGACTGCATGGCCTTAACGTCACATAACAAACGTTATACAATTCTTCAGACTTGTTAAACGACTGACGCTATGAAGAGGTTAGGATAGACTGTGAGCCGTGATAGGGCGGTTAGGCGACGGCTTCCCACCGCGGCGGCCCAGGTTCCAGCGCAGATCAGCTCATATTGGATTTGTGGTGGACAAAGTGCCACTGGGGCAGTTTTTCTCCGAGTACTTCGGGTTTCCCTGCCAATTCTCATTCCACCGACTGATCCATATTCATCATCATCTATCATGCGGGACTGGTATAACAGGCCAATTTTTTATTGCTAGATCGGTGGGACTAAGTCCCTTGTACTGCGGCCACTTATGGCCTATTATACCAGCCCCAGATGATAGGTGAGGGTGATTGTGGAGCAATTGGTGGAATGAAGATTGGCAGGGGAAACTGAAGTACTCGGAGAAACCCTGCCCCAGCGCCATCTTGTCCACCACAAATCCCACTTGACCAGATCCGGGATCGAACCCGGGCCGCCGCGGTGGGAAGCCAGCGACTAACCGCTCGAGGTATGGCGCGGCCCTAACAGGCGAATTAGTGGCCGACCTACCAAGTGGGTTCAGTCTCACCCCACCCCACGAAACTAAAAAAAAAAGAAAACTAAACGAGAGAACGCAATGTCATCGTATATATAAATATACAGAGTGTCCCAGGAGGAAAAGCCAATATTTTGTGAGTCTTAGTATCGGTCATTGTAAGCAAGGAATTGTATGTGCACGTGTTCTATTCCAAACGGTTTCGAGATAGAGCCATTTCACTGTACAGTTCCAAAATTGTCGATAAGAGAGAGAGATTGTGTACTGGTTCTTGCTTCCATTGGAAAATAGGAATTAACACAGTGTCGCCATCTCAGGGGCTTCTTGCTGAGTTGCTTGGTTCCTCCCCATGCCTCCCCAGTAGCCAAGGCTTCCTCTCGTTTTGTTCTCTGCCAACTCCTCGTCGGCCTTCCTCTTTTCCTTTGTCCCTGTGGGTTCCACACAGATCCTCTTTCTCAATTGTATTTTCCTTTCGAAATATACGGTCGATTCAGTTCCATTTACGTTTAGTTATTTTTATTTCATTTGTCTGTTTCCATAGATCCTCATTTGTTACTATAAGTGGCCATTTCACACTTACTACTCTACGCAGGCATCGATTTACAAAACTTTGTAATTTTCTATATATTTCCTGAGTGACTTGTAATGTCTCACATCCATAAAATAAAATTGATTTCACATTAGATTTGAAATTTCTTAGTTTTTTTTTTTCTGTATGCAATATCACTCGATTTCCAAACTTTCTGTAGTTGATTAAAAATCACATATGCATTAGATATTTTATTTCTTACATCTTCCACACTACCACCCCCATTCGTGACTATACTACCAAGGTATCGGAATTTACTAACATTTCCTATTTCTTTTCCGTCTAAAGTGAAAGTATTTTTATTTTCTATGCGCAATGTTTTCGTCTTTGCTTGATTAATTCATTTTTAATTAATTAATAATTCATATGACTGTTTTATCAATATTCTAACTTATTAATTTTATCAACGCCGGTCAGGGTAGCCGAGCGGTCTAAGGCATGTACTGTCTTCGCTCGCTTGGAAACCGGCATCGTGGGTTCGAAGCCAACTCAGGGCATGGATGTTTAGTTTGTGTGTGTGCGTTTTTCTGTGTTTGTATACAGGTAGTGGCCTTGCGACGAGCTGATCACCCGCCCAAGGAGTCCTACTGAATGTATAAGATCTAGAAAAACCGAAGTGAACGGAGAAGTTCATGGAGGTAGGCCTAGGCCCACTGGGGCTGTAGTGCCAAGGAAAAAAAATTATTTGATCAACACATGACCTGTTACTTCTAAAGCGTGCTTGTTATTTTCTTAATTTGGTTTCAATTCCATTTTTTATTCTTTTGTGTA